CCCCCCCCCCCCCGAAGGAACAGCAGGGTCTGCACCCAGCACTGCAGGGCACAGCAAGCAGACTGCAAACCAGGCTGGAGGGAGCACTAGCTGTGTGAGGTTCAAATAGCTCAACTCAGGAGAGAATGGCTCCCACTCGTGTTCAGGGAGGGGAGCTGCCGGCTTAGAAATCCAACACCCACAGATATTCACCCCAAAAGGACCTTACGGGCCATCCTGTCAGGGAGCAGAGAGTCGTGTGGGTGACTCCGTGGGCAGACTCGTGCCCAAGGCCAGCCTCAGAGCACTGACGCCAGCTCACCGTTTCCCTTGCAATCCTCTCATATCAGACTGTTCACTTGGTTTATGGTACATAACAGTACTTATATGTTTCGTCCTCTGACTAGCCTCTTGCTAGGCTGATGGCTCCACCGGGGATACAAACATAAGTGGTCTGTTCCCAGGTGTCCCAGCACTAAGGCCAGGGCTGGCACCCAGAGTCGCACAATTGATGCCGTGAATGAGAGTGAGTGCCTCGCTCTGGGGTGGATGGCACTGCCATTTCTGGTGCCCACCCCTCATTAGGTCTGACCCCGACTTCACAGGTGAGGAAAGAGCAGAGTGGGACAGTCTGCTCCAGAAAGAGCTGTGCCAGAGTCCGGAAGCTACAGGGGCCTGGGACCGAGACCCTCCATCCAGCAGGGCTGGGTTCCCTGGGCTCCCGACACAGCTCAGGGAAGGACCTGGGGAGAGAGGAGCAGACGGACCCAAAGCCAATGCAATGGCCCCAAATCGCATGAAGACTCACCAAATCAGCGTTTCCCCTCGATCTCCCCTGAGCACCTGAAGGGAAAGAGACGAAGAGGGGAGACATGAATGTCAGGGTCCAGCAGGGAGGGGTGAGGGACTCCATGAGGACAGCCCCCACAGAAATGTAGGAGTGGGAACTTAGGAGCCGCCTTGGAAAACTGTTTATGTTTCTAATACTTGTACACACCCTCTGACTGGCAATTCCACTCCAGGGGTACATACACCCAAGAAAAATGAGTGCAGTGGACACAGACTTGGCCACCAACGTGCACTGAGGCCTTACTCACAACGCCCCAAACTAGAAACAGCACAGATGTCCGCCAACAGGTCCACAGATGAACAGATGTGACGCAGCCTCTAAAGGCGTGAGCTACTGATGCATGCAGCACCGCGGGTGACCTCAAAACACTACGCCGAGTAAAAAAAACCCGTAGAGTATATACAGTGGGATTCTATTTATGTGAATCTCTAGACCAGAAGATTTTAAGGGAGGCTCCAGGAGATGCCCCACTCTGTGGAACCCATGGGGCCCAGCACACAGTAGGTCCTCAGGAAATATTTGCAGAATGAATAAATGAGTAAAATGGTCATTTCTTCCTTCGGTGTCATAAGAGTTTTCATTTCAATGAGCTAAAAGTCAACTAGCCACCAGCCTATAAGGTCATGGGACACTTTTTCCTTTTAGGCAGAGACCAAGGTGGCCACCTCCAAGACGTGTTGGAGTCGACACTGGTGATCCAACGATGGTGGCCTTCATTGCTCAGGGCAGGCCTGGCCCCCCATGGAGCACTATTCTCTCACCAATTTAAACGGCATGCCAGAAAAGTATTCACACGCCACGTTTAAAACAAAACAAAAAAATGGCTTTACCTAGCCTGAAGGCTTCTATCAGTCCGCAGCCTTAATTCTAAAACTATTGCTCAATTCCCATATTCCACTGCATCCCCAAAATATAACAACTGTCTGCTACTGAGGAATTTATTCACTTCTCAAATTAGCGGCAGTGATCCACAAAGTGAGAGAGTGACATCATCCAAATGGCAGAATAAGAACTTTCTACTGCCACCCTGGCCAGCGTGGCTCAGTTGGCTGGGCACAGTCCTGTGCACCAAGGGGCTGCAGGTTCGATCCCCGGTAGGAGGTGTGCAGGAGGCAGCTGATGGATGTTTCTCGCTCTCTCTCTCTCCCTTCCTCTCTTGCTAAAATAAATAAATTAATTAAATTAAAAAATCTTTAAAAAACACACATACAGAATGTTCTACTGCCTTCCCCCACAGAGAACACCAATTTTGACCATCACCACGGACAAGAGTGCCTTTGTGGAAGTTCAGGAGCCCGGTGGAGTACTCCCAGCACGCTGCTGATGTAAAAAAATAAAATAAAATAAAAAACCCAAGGTTAGGTGCATGAAAGAGGCCAGTCAGTAAAGATTGGAGAAGGTGATGCTGCTTCAAACACAAAGACAGAAACACAAGACTTCAAGGGAATGTGGCACCACCAAAGGAACACAATCATTTTCCAGTAACCAACCCCAAAGAAACGAAAATTGGAGATTTGCCCAATAAAGAATTCAAAATCATTGTTTAAAGGAAACTCAGTTCGCTACAAGAACACACAGAAAGACAATTCAACGAAATCAAGGAAACAANACTAGGTGCATGAAAGAGGCCAGTCAGTAAAGATTGGAGAACGTGAGGCTGCTTCAAACACAAAGACCGCAACACAAGACTTCAAGGGAATGTGGCACCACCAAAGGAACACAAGCATTTTCCAGTAACCAACCCCAAAGAAACGAAAATCAGAGATTTGCCCAATAAAGAATTCAAAATCATTGTTTAAAGGAAACTCAATTCGCTACAAGAACACACAGAAAGACAATTCAACGAAATCAAGGAAACAATAGACAAAATGAGAAGTTTAACAGAGAGAGAGAGAAATCTTAAAAAAGAACCAAACAGAAATTCTGGCCCAGCCGGCGTGGCTCAGTGGTTGAGCATCAACCTGTGATCCAGGAGATCGAGGTTCGATTCCCGGTCAGGGCACGTGCCCGGTTGTGGGCTCGATCCCCAGTCGGGGGCGTGCAGGAGGCAGCCGGTCAATGACTCTGTCTCATCATTGATGTTTCTCTCTCTCTTTCTCCCTCTCCCTTCCTCTCTCTGAAATCAATAAAAATAAATAAAGAAAAAAGAAAAGGAAAGGAAACTAAATAAATAAAAAAGAAATTCTGGAGCTTAAGAATACAATGAATAAAATAAAATAAATGCAACAGAGAACATCAATATTGGACTTGATCAAAAAGAAGGAAGAACCTGTGAAGCGGAAGACAAGTCATTTGAAATTATCCATTCAGAAAAGAATACATGCTTTTCAGAGGAGGGGCTTCCAAAATTAAATCTCCTGAAGATTTACCAGAATAGTCCACCCATCCCCTATGAGTACTCAGAAAGACAACACCAAAATTAAATTCTGAATTTCCGCCTGCCCCGCCATACCAATGGTCACACTCACCGACATCACCGGATCCTCCAGGACCAATGTCCACTGGCCTGGGCACGCCTGGTCTGGGAACCTCTGGCCTCAACACCACTGGAGTGAGTGTGCCTGGGGTCAGCTTCGGTGGGTCCTGCTTCGCTACTCTCAGCTCCTCTGGTCTGACCACCACGGGTTTGAGGTCCAGGGGTCTGATGGCCTCCAGGTCCCGCCTTGCTGCTTGGCTACTTGTTCTCAGGAGTGAAGCCAGGCTGTGCTGGCCTGTTTCCTCCAGGCAGGAGATGAACAAAGGAAGGGCCTGGCTCCCGCGAGTCTCCAGGTCTATGACGAGCTGCCTGGCCTGATCACGCCGAGACCCAGAGCCTGCCCTCTGTTTGGAAAGAAAGACATGGCACTGTTACACGCTTTCCTGTGACTCACCTGGTCCCCCTATTTCCCAGATGGCATAAATCTAAACAATCGGCCATGCGGGCAAAAACTGAGCCTGCCTTTGCTTATCTGTTCATTCAGTGTTTTGGAGGCATCTACTATGTGCCCAGTGTTGTGCTGAGTGCTGAAAATACATCGGCAAATGATCTCAGTCCTCAAGAAGCAAACGTCGTGTGGGGAATGCAAACAGACAAGTCAACAATGACACAGCAAGGAGAGATGTGCCACGGGGAAAGCACATGGAACTGGGTGAGTACAGGGGCACCCAACTCAGTCCTGGGTGGTCAGGGAGGCTTCCAGCAGGGGGTCTTCGCTGAGGACCTAGGGAACATTAGCAAGTGAACAGCGAGAGGCAGTGACGGAAGCAGAGGCTGGAGTGACGTGGCCACAAGCCAAGGAATGCTAGCAGCCTCTAGAAGCCGCAGCAGGCAAGGAAGGGGTTCTTCCCTGAGCCTCCAGAAGGAAGCAGCCCTGCTGACACCTTTATTTTAACCCCTTAGGACTCACTTCGGACTTGAGCTCTCCGGAAATGTAAGAGCATAAATCTGTGTTGTCTTAAAAAAGGAAGTGTGAAACGGGAAATGTAAGTTGGGGCGGGGAACAGTAGTGAGGGGATGACCCATTTGTGTGGTCATGTCAAGGAGGCTGTGAGAAGCCACTGAAGAGTTTTGAGAAAGGGGGTGAGAGTCAGATCTGCCTTTTAGAAAATTCATCCTGGCGGCAGGGTGGACAATGAAGGGAGTGAGGCACAGCCAGGTCCGGTGACGGCAAAGATGGTGCAGTTGGAAGAAGCGAGGACAGGCCAGAGAAATAAGGAGGGAGAATCGACAGGACCTGGCCACTGACGGGGTGGACTGTGAGGATGCAGAAATGACCAAGGTTGACCGGTGCGGGGATGGTGCGACAGGGAGAGGGGTGGGAGCGAGAAGAAGCTATATAACAAAGATATATAACAAAGCCAGGAGGAGGGCCCAGGTCCACGTGGCTCCAAAGCCTGTGTGTTTATCAGCCCTAACACGTGTGGTGAAACGGTGCCCGTCGTTCACACAGCATTCTTTAAAAATTCTGGATTTTTGCTAATGTTTAAAATCAGGTAACTGGACATCAAAGTCAAGACTTCCAGCTTCTCTTTAACAACGTGAAAGACTTGGCAACCCTGGATGGACCAGGATTCTGGCATGACCATACCCAGCTGGAGCTGGAGGGCAGGGCAGAGGCTGCCCACTGTAGTGCCCACCTAGTGGGCCTCCGAGGGCATTCCAGTTGGTGACCCTGTGACTGTACCTAAAGGCAAAGCTGTGGCCTCAAAGCATGTCCACGCCTCAGTACAGGCCACACAGCGGGTGCTGTAAGACCTCTTTTAATAGTAGTATTCATTGATAATTTTCCCTATGACTCTTGTTCTATTAAAGACTTCCTCAGTGGGTCAGGCCCAGCTCCTGGGTGATGCAGAGACTGGACACAGCCTGCAAGCAGCCCTTAAGGCACTAGCCAGGGGCCTCCAGGACCCCACACACCCCATGATCAGAAATCCCTCCTGTACACACCTCACCTCGCAGGGTCAAGTGAGACAAAGACATGAGAGCTTTAAAAGAGAACCTCCAATGTTTAACTTCAGTATTCCCTCCATCATCTGCATAAGGACATTCATCTCCAAGACCCCTCACAAAACATAAACCTGACGCACGAGGGGGGCTGGCCAGAGTACAGGGCACAGCCAGCTGCCACCCAGGAGCCTCAGTGCCTGGCACTGGACTGTTCCACCTCCGTTACCTCACTTAGCCCTCAGGGCAGTACTGCGGTTGTCCCCATTTCACAGCCCGGGAAACTGGCTCAAAGAGGGTGCCGTGCCCAAGGGCAGGGTGCCAGGTAGTCTGCCGCCCAAGTGGGTGCCGTGGACCTCCGTGCCGGAGAAACGGCCATGCGCCCTGGCAGGGAAAGCGCAGCGCTGCGGCCGGGGCGGACCTGCGTCTTAGCAAGTCCGCAGAGGGGCGTCCCGGGCTGTCCGGTTCGCCGCCGCGAGGAAAAACGGGGCTCCCACACAGCGGCTCCCCAAAGGGGGCGGGGCGCCGGTTGGCACGGAGCCGGGAGCTCGGCCCTCCGGTTACGCCGCGGCTCCTGCCACCCTCTCCGCGCGGCCCCGCGG